CCCTACCTAGACCGGGGGGGGGGGGGGCTAAAAGTGCCCGCGGCAACTTTGATGTCACCTAGCGTCTGAACGGCTAGCCATAGAACGGCCAAACTTGGTGACTTTTCCTAGAATATTGTTGGCAACAATTCTCTATCATTGGAATAAGATAATAATTTTTTGTGTTGCCATGGCAACGGGTTTCTGACAGGCATTTTTTGCTAAATTTAGTACTTTTTGTTTCAACAATAGAAGTTTTTGGGTTTTATGTCAAGTTACTCATGGTTTTTAATACTAATAATATCCCATATAATTTTATGTAAATCCTATCATTAAATATGCATAATTTATGCTAATTTGATGACGTCATTGGCCAAAATCCAAGATGGCGGACCATATCATTAGAACAGGTATATACAGGTTATTTTCATTAAAATTTCATCAATACTTCCATTTCTTTTTCCAAAAAAGGTTTAAATGAAGGTATTTAGTATGTTTATAATGTATTTTAGGCTTTATCATGAAAAAAAACTATTTTTGAAAATTCAAGATTAATGATCCAAGATGGCGGATATCTTAAATATGCATGACGTCATTTTATGACGTCACCGGTGTTGCTATGGGCAACATAAGACTTAGTACACCATAATATTCTGTCATAAACACTTTTGGTTCAGTTATGTTGAATACCATTTAGTTTTCAGGGAAAAACCTATTTAGACGGTTTTGGCCAATAAAATCACATTAATGACGTCATAATGACGTCATATTACGTCATGACGACATAAAAATTGTAGATATGATAAATTTTCACTAGTACACCATTCTCTGAAAATTTGGTGGTCATACGACATACCGTTCGCGAGTTCTTAGGGGGGGGTCAAAAGAGCCCCCCCCCGGGTCCCCCCCATGTCAAAAAAGCCCGGTCTAGGTAGGGTTAAGGTGTCCGGAAACTTAAAGGCTAACGACCTGTTCTCTTCATTCTCAAAATCCAATTTTATGAAAAGTAGTAGGTAAGGGATAGATTTGATGGCAAGTTGTTCCAAAAGTTTAGAATACAGATTACACATACAATGAGAGATACTTGTAACCCCATAGCTGTCCCATGGATTTTTTGATAGAAAATTGTATTGTATACAAATCAAGACGGGATTATCATAAACGTTCTATAACTTATGATCTACTGATCACCGAGTCATATGATATTTGGTAGTAGGTGGGTAGGTCTTGATGAGACCTCGAAAGGATTAGATATTTTGGGCCCCCTAGCGTCTTCTTATGGTACTGCAGCTGAACTTGTTTTGATATCTCATGACCTACACATGCTAGGGGCACGAAATTGAGATAGGTAGCTCTTGTGCCGGGGCAGAAGTGACGTG